AATGTTGTAAGGTTAAACCTTGCGAAAATAGCGCGATTGGCCCCCAGAGATAGGTCAAAGTCATGATGCTATAGCCATAGCTCAATAAAAGAAAATAATAGCGACCCACTAAATTTTAATATGTTTTAACCTTGGTTGTGAGTTGTAAGAATACTTGATTCTGTTTCCTTTATGTTTTTCCATCCTCTAAGATTATGCCTCACTCGAAGTGTCGAGCGTTAATTTGAATCAAGTATTTTAATAGAACGTGAGTGGGAGGTTTGATTGTTTTCAATTAATCATCCTTGTTTATTTCTCTATGGCAACATTTAATTAACAGGTGACGCATTTGATCAAAATCATTCATTTTATGTCAAAAATACAGACAAAGAGTGGATTTAATTAATCGCATTTTCAACAAACTCACATAAATTTTTGTGCAAAATGTCGTCCAGAAAAAAGGTTCTACTCAAAGTTATCATCCTCGGAGACAGTGGTGTTGGCAAGACGTCACTCATGAATCAGTTTGTGAACAAGAAATTTTCCAACCAGTACAAGGCAACAATAGGCGCAGATTTTCTCACGAAAGAGGTAATCGTTGATGATAGGATCGTCACAATGCAAATTTGGGATACAGCTGGCCAGGAAAGATTTCAGTCGCTTGGAGTGGCGTTCTACCGCGGGGCGGATTGTTGCGTCTTAGTTTTTGACGTAACTGCCCCCAACACGTTCAAGTCCTTGGAGAGTTGGAGAGACGAATTCCTGATTCAAGCTTCTCCTCGAGACCCCGAGAATTTCCCATTCGTCATTTTAGGTAATAAAGTCGATCTGGAGAACCGTGCGGTATCCGCCAAGCGCGCCCAGCAGTGGTGCCAAAGCAAAAACGATATCCCGTACTTTGAAACGAGTGCCAAAGAAGCAGTGAATGTAGAGTTAGCATTCCAAACTATAGCCCGCAACGCTTTGGCGCAGGAGAAAGAGATGGATCTCTACAATGAGTTCCCTGATAGAGTGATCCTAAATAATAATGACAACAACCGTAACAGGGATGGGGACAACTGCGCTTGTTAAACCATGAGTTATGCGCTTTAGCACCAGCTATATATTAGTTTCTCATTTTTATAAAGTAATAAATAAATACAATAAAGTATAACATTGTAAGTAATATTTCTTTTATAACATTATTATGTAAAAATGTATAGAATTGCGTGTAGTCTTACACATGGGTGATTCGTTTGTTGTGCACTAATATTTGGATTATGACTTTTGATGCACTGTTTGAATACTGGTAATCTAAAAAACAAGTTCTTTGTTAAGTTTACATTGCACAGATCTTGATTGTTTTCAAAAAGTACAATGTTTATACCACTGTTTAAAGGCCTTTGGGCCACAAAATAATTCTTTACGCATGTTTTAAATGTTATTTAAATGCAGCTTGTAATATAATTTTGTTTGTTAAATAGGTTTTATTGACAATCTATTCATCAGAGGTTGGGATTTCCAATTGACTATTTTTATTCCAAATAATCTTGTGTAATGCCAACACTAATGGCTATTGGACAAACAGAATAATGAATGAATCCTCATATCAAGGGCATAAAGTTAACTACCTATATTATTGATAGAGCTGCCACAATTAATACCCCTTTTGTGTTGGTATATAAAAGGAAGATACCAATTTTCCCATTGGGGTCTGGTTGAATTGTCTTTATGGTTAATGAATAACTATCATGCATTAATATGAACATTATTATTTTATTTACCAAATATTGGTGTCTATTCTGAAATACAAATTTTAAAAGCAATGGCTTTTAGAACTTTCAATTTATATTTGCAATGTATACAGAACTGACACCTTTTTATTAAATTTAAGTTGTCTCAAACAAGATGTCAAATCAAGATTTGTATATCTTATTATTGTTTACTCTGAATTATGGAGTTTTATTAAATGAAAATATGTTTTGTTTTAAATTCAACATTTGTTGTTAAGCAAATAAGTTTGCTTACATACTCTGTAAGGATTCCTTTCAAATATGTGATATTATTATTTGTATTTCTTATATTCATGTCTATATTAAAATGTTTTGTCAGGGTCGATGTCTTTATAATATAAAAACACACTATATCTTCAAAATGCTTTATATTTGGTACCGGAAATAATAATATTTGTCCAAAAACAATAATAATAATTGACAAAGAAAGAACACTTGTCAGTACACACTTCACGTGATTAAAATATTACGTAAATTATCTTTTTTGTATATATTTGGATTATAAAGAGTTAGTTGTAAGTAGTTAATTATGGTATCAAGATTTACACAGCACCACACATATTCAAAAAGCAATTAAGATCATTATAATTAAATGCGCCATAGATTAATATATAAAATATTAAGGTCACATATTGTATTTTATACTGTAAGCTGGCAATGACATCATTGATTGAGCAAATTTCTAAATGTGGTTTGTCTGTTACAAAATTTATCCTTTAATATGAAGTCTCCACTATTATTCGAAACAGCCTAAATAATTAGACGGTATGCCCTTTAGGTAAACCCTTTCACTAGAGGCAGCTTGTTATCGACGACGCCTAAAGAAATATTAGTTTCAAATTGTTTTGTAGGTTTTATGTGTATATGCTCTGTATGACAATGATAAAAAAGGCTCATGATTAGCAATTGAACCTCCGTAATGTGACCTGTAGAATATGTATAATAATAATGGCTATAGATAACGAATTTAATTAACATAAATTCTATTTCCTTTCGTTATTGCCTTTCAAAATTTCAGATTATGTTGAAGTTATTTAAATGTAATATTTACCTGTGATTATCGTCATTTAATATATGATTCATTAATCTCTATTATAGTACATTATGTTATTCAAAAGTAAAATAAGAACTAGTTGAAGTTAACGATATATGCTGTAATAATGGTTGCTTTTAATTTTTTATCAATAAATAAAACACTGGAATTGGTAAAGTGTTTATCTTTAGGCCTTGTGCAGCGTAAGAGCTACAAAAGCACTATGTCAATGTAGGCAATTATAGACGAGAATGTACTCTATTTACGTAACATATTTTTTAATTGCAGTATACGGTAACTTTCTGCCAAGCAATTTTAATGTTCGGATGTAAAAAAACTGCACCGTAAATTAAGCTAACCGCAAAAGCTGCATAAGGGCTTATAAAATGACCTGTGGTTTCATGTAATGTTCTGCTATATTATAAGATCACTTCTACAAAAACGGAGTTCACTCTCATCATTGGAGAGTTTTATGAATCAATCTGGGTTCTTCGCCAAGTTATGTATTGTACCTCCTACCTAGTGTGTACGCCGTATCTAAAAACCATTCTTTACATCTATCACAATGACGTTACTTGTAAAGAAATATAATCTCCCTAAAGTTATCGTTGTGGTCACAAAGTACTTTGTAATATTAACATTTGGTAAAGGATGTACAGTGTTAAGAGCACGTCAAGCTTGACACTTAAAATTTAAATTCAACTCTATGGGTCGTACTCCCGAACTCTACTCAAGTCCTTGCCATTAGGATCGTATTTCCAGTGCTTGAAATCATACTCAAGTCCTGACTTGAGCATTGAGTAGAGTTCTGGAATACGACCCTATGCCTCTTACCATAAGAACGGTCCAAAATATAAAGTGTCAAGCTTGACGTGTTCTTGACTGTACTACATAGTTGCGCTTTGTAATATGGGATCTACTTGTACAATAATAAATGATAACACAATACCCTGAGCGGTATTTGCGACTATAGCACTAAGTTAGTGCGAAATCTCCCGGCTTGTATTACACTACGGACGGACAATGGCACGTCTCTTTTTACACTAAATTTTAAATACAACGCTATTGAAATAAAAAGAACCGTCCAAAGTAGTGAAGCTCATTGTGCTGTATAACGTGCAAAATATTTTATAACTATAGATTTTGGTATATACTAAATCTGTGGCTAACTCGATCGAATTCTAACATGTTACTATTTACAATACCTTAGTATTTCCGGAATTGTATGTAATGTAATGTAAAATGTAATCTAAATTATTGCCAGTAAAGATGCAAACTATTACCACATACTTTATTTCGCATTACTTTAATGATTCAGAAGTTCATTGACTTTTCGGTAATCTCTGAAATCTTCAAAAGGTAGTAACTACTAACAACTTTACAAATTAAAGCCCTCTTTATACTGGAAACTCTGAATAAAAAGGATAAAATTTTGTTTTAGTAAGTACGATAATCACAACCACGTAATAGATCATAATGCGAACAAATATCCGTCTCGATGGATCATTTCATTGTGACGTATAGTAATAGTTTCGACATTGCGTCATTGTCCATCCATACACAAGTTGTGCCATTCGTATGTACATACATACCTACTTGTTTGTTTATTTTTCCATAGAATGATAGATAACTAATCTTGATATACTTTTTATGGGAACGAAATACCTTATAGTTTTATAATGCAGCTAAAAATGCTGTTTCAAGCTTCAGACGAAAACATTACATTAAACGAACGAACACAAACAACGTAAAACAATTAAATTTAAAACTTACGACACAAAATACTTAATGCTCACTTAATTAGATAGTTACGTAATATAAGTATCTAGATTTTTCGATCTATACATATGCTTTATATTATTCTTTATTGACCAAAAAAAGACAAACAAATATAAACTATAGAGAAGGTGAGCAAAGGTGGACTTCTCTCTAAAAGATATTTCTTCCAGTCAACCCAAGGCAGTGAGAACAAAGGTCATACTTATGTAGTAATTTATTAACATAGTTTGATCTAAGCCATCCTACTTATGTGCTAATTTGTTCTGTGCCCAATACGAACTTACTACTAATTTGCTTAACCAAAAGGAAACTCCCAGTACAAGTTCAATAGCATTCAACAGTTTTAGAATCTTCATATTAATTACGTATACTTATTGCATGACGTCATTCACTACTTCATCGGACTGGAGTCATTCATCAAGGTGCTTAGAAGCCTAACGGCCGAAGTGGCCGCGCATGCGGAGTAGGGAAGTGGGGGGAGGTGTTTCAGGCCGGCTAGCCGTTTGCGACTTCAGTCTCGTCTGTGACATGAAAGGGCGCGATCCTCAATACGCATCACGGTGCTTCGAGCAATGCATCAGCATGAACAGCCGCCAGGGAACGCATGTAATGGTAAGTACTTTTATTAGTCTTCAAATTGGCATTCAATGGCCATTATTCTCATAGATATATGTCTACAGATATCGTGGTCAACGTGCGCCAGCCCACGTTGATGCAATAATTTACTACTGTTTCATTAGGACTTCTCTGAAAATTATTGTAATTTTGAAACTGAGCAACCTTACCTGTGTACTTAAAATATATAGGGATATTTAATAGAATACGGATTTGAATAATAGTTGGCTTCGGTTCGGTTTGTTCGGCTTTTCGAAATAGAGAGGAAAAAAACAATGATTTTCAAAAATCTAATTTATAATTTACGCTAAAATATTAAAACGTGTAGCTAATAAGCATGACGTTTAAAAAATTGTTCGAAATAATAAGTAGCAGTACAAATGGGCGAGTTCAATGTAAAAATATTACCTATAACTTTATAATACAAGTACTCGTAAATTTATATATTTAAATTACTATTAAGCAAGTAATAATATTATTTTATTTATATAATACGTTATTTCTTTTAATAGAACCAACCATTCTACGTTAGCAAAGTCCGCTCGGCTAGGGAAGCTCGTTCAAGGTCAAATGCACGACCCTTGTGCTCCGCCCGCCTAAGCCACCCCCACCCTCAAATGACTATAAATTATTTGTTTAACCTTTCGCATTTTTACCACTTCTAAATGTTTTTTTATTACCTAATCTGGTGAAGTAGCACCTTTAAAGATAACTTGTTCTACGTCTACGCCTATTATCAATACACATTTAATTTTTTTATCTTTATACACATAATTTCGATTCCTCAATATACTTGGAGAACCCAAGTTTTCTAAATAAAGTTATAGCATAGTGTATTTCTAATAAGAAGTACAGAATATGCTACTTGATTTCTTGGTAGACATCATAGACACCTATACATATACGGTGCATGGAAAAGGTACATATAAAAAGGTGTACTAATTTTTTTATAATTAATAGTGATGGCGTGATGAGAATAATTTATACTCAATTTGTAATAATTTATTACGATAGACAATTTTTATATCAATGTTTAAATTTTTCTTGTGAGAAAATAAATAGTCATTGTTTCTAACAATTTCAATCAAAGGTATGCATGTGTAGAGTGTTACATATTTTTGGTTCTAACTAAAATTAAATGTTGTAAAAAAATACTAAGTACCAAATTTTTAAATTAAAAATACGTAAATAGTCTGCATTTCAATTATTATACAATATAATTTTTAATGAAA